CGCGGCGAAATTCATACCTGTTCTGACGACTTTAGCGCCCATTATTTGGGCCCAATTTTGAAGTGTAGTAGAATAGTAAGATCAGCTGACCTCACTAATCTACCCTACTTCAGATTCGGGCTCCAATGATAGGCGTCGGAGTCGTGCAAATTCGCCACGAACTTCGACGCACAATTTGCCGCGCGCGCCCTCGGACGCACGACTTGAAACACACCCGAATCGCACGAATGTACACACACCCGTGGGTGAGAAGTGGGTGTAGCACTTGTGATGATACTGGGGACAGTCATGTTCACAATTTAGTATGTTAGAACTTGGCTTGACACGTTAATGTGGTTTCGACGCGCCGGCGGTACTACATGTAGCAACCTGTATTCCCACCCTTCCAAGCGTTCGTCTGGGCGGGTCGAGTCCCATTAGGGTTGGAATATTACGCAGTCATAAATGTGTTTGCCTCACTGTCTCTATGAAAAAGGGTAAATTATAGTTGGAAGGTATCACGAACGCCCTCCACCCACACCTGGGAATATCCCGGAAAAAAAAGTGGAATTATTCTGGATGGCAGGAGGGACGCCCCAAACAACGAGGCAGAAGTTCACTGACCCCGTAATCGCAGTTGGAAACAGCTCCACAACTGTAAGTTGAGGTTGGGGCAGTCGGGGCAGCCGAGCCAGCTCGTTTTGTGTCTGTTCGCATGATATTCTCGAATATTCTCAATGGAATAGCGTTTAACGGGGTCAGACTCCGCATTGCACTGTAATGTTCGCTCATATTTTGCTGATAAATTTCATTATAAGGGTAGTTTCGAATCAATGAGTTTCCTACAAATTATCTGTTTAATTTCAGGTGAGACTTTCTGCGTTGCATGATTGGCTCGTAGACTCTTTCCAGAAAAAGGTCTACCATGGAGCAAAAGAAAAGCACTGTAAGTACATACTACTTTTACTATGAGTTTCTTATGGATATGATCATGCTGCTGTCGGTTTCAAATGAACTCATCTGTGGGCACTCTTAACCTATGAAAGGCATCTTATTTATTATTATAAGCTTCATCGTGCTCGAGTTCATTTAATATTAGATAGCATTATGTTCATGGTCTATTGGTAGCTATCTATTCGTTTTGCCTTTCTTAATGTAAAAGAAAAAAGATTGAAATGATACAAAATCGAGAATATTAGACTACTGCGGAATAGGTAGAGTTTTGGCTCAGTGTTATCAAAGGTTTCAGGATACGTCAAGCGCTCAGAAGAATGAAGCTTCGGAAAAACGTGATGTGGTCAAAATTGTAACAAAGGACGATTGCGTTTTCCATGTATCTCGAGATGTCATCCATATGTCGAAGACCATCAACACAATGATCAGTGATCTCGGGGTTGACAGCAGCGACCCGATCCCGATATGCAATGTGAATGGGGTTACCATGAAAAAAGTGCTGGATTGGTGTGCTTATCACAAAAACGATCCGCCGCTTGCTGACGACAAGAGCAAAACAGGGACTTCAGAAATAAGTGCTTGGGACAAGCAGTTCTTCAGTGTCGATCAGGAAACAGTGTTCGAATTGATTCTCGCAGCAAATTACCTAGATATCAGTGGTCTGCTGGACGTCGCATGTCGAGTGGTTGCCAACATGATTAATGGGAAGACTCCTGAAGAAATTCGCCGCACCTTCAACATAATCAACGACTTCAGTCCAGAGGAAGAGGCCCGAATCCGTAAGGAGAACGCCTGGGTCGAGGAGTAATGCTGCCTTCAACTTTGAAAAGGGGACTACATGTGCATTCTATTTCATTCTTATTACTTTTGTAGCGGTATTTTACACGTGGCTTATTGTTTATAGACGGTTCCAAAATGATCTCTTCATTCAGCTCTGATAGAGGACTATATGCATTTTTTGTTGGCTGTATAAACGTTATGTATACGAACATGCACTTTTGATTTATGTTTCATGTGTTCCAAACACTATCCCATACTACTTCTTTACTTTGCCCTCCGAATACTCATACCTCTATAATGGACTACTGCATCATTAGTTTATAATGATTTGCTTATTTTCCAAGTTCCAGCGTCTACCGTATAATGAATGTGTGGAAGAGTCTGCAGAAGAGCTTGCGGAGTACTACGAAAAGTTACTCCGTGTTTCGGAGGAACTCGAAGAGAAGCGTAGAAAGGAAGGTCTCCCCGACCTCTACAATCCCGATGGAACAGGTAAGTTTCGTAACTTTTCGCTCACCCATTTACTTAGTCATTTCGTGCAGGTTTTTTCTTTCTTTTTTGTGTTTAGTATTGGTTGCCTACGGGCTCATAAGGTTGTGTGCGTGCTGATCAATGGCTGGGGATATAGAGCACGGGTTTGTAAAGCGCAGGCACTAGTCCATAGCTCACTAACAACATTGAGAATGACAAGGGCTTATGGATTTTGGGTCACCAACTGTGAGAGAGCGCATAATAGGGGGTTGATTTGAAGGAGATGAAAATTATCGTCCATTGATTCAAAACATTTCCAGCAAAGATTCGAACTGAAATACCTCCTGAGAACATATTGAAACGTGTAGAGTACGAAGAACCGCCTAAAGGTGTTGAGGTTGAGACCTTAATTGCTGTAATGCGTCGACTACATTCTCTTACTGCTGCGGAAATGCGTACTTTTCTCAAGCAGGTGCATCAGTCTGGACAGTGAGTTTCGTATATTCTTCTTGAATTCTTCTAAGATACGAGATGCCCACTAAATCTCACTAGTATTCTTCAAATCCTCTCAGTGTTGTCAGAAAAGAGATTTCATTTGAGAAAGTTTAGAATCATATGGTAAAAGCTTTAAACAAGTAACCGGCTTGGAATAGGTTAAGTGTTGGGTAAGCCGAAAGTTGCACAATGATGAAGGAAAGGATGATCAGTGGCACTGTTTTTTAACGTTGTTTCAGGGGTACTAAAAAGCAACTTCGTGCGAGGCTACGACGCTATTATCGCAAGGAATTCTCTATGTATCGAATGCTTCGTGAGGGAGATAATATGCCTCGTTTTGGAAACAAAACAGCACGATATTTTGATTTTCTGGTGGTTAGTGGATCTACGTAGTATGTGGTTTCAGAGGATACTGTATGAATGCAATTTCGCATTACTAGTGCATATTGTGCCATACTCCAAGAGTTCATACTTCAGGCGATCGATTTTGAATGTACCTGCGTCGAAGTGATCTATGATTATCCGCATGAAATTATTGAATTCCCTGCTGTGTTAATTGATGTGCGACAGATGAAAATTGTAAGATACCCTGCTACATCGTGTGTTTCGTCATTAAAGTCCTACACTCTGCCTGGTCTTCAGGTGGACAAATTTCGTACATTTGTTAGGCCAGAGAAAAATCCTATTCTGGATCCTTTCTGCATACAATTAACAGGTAATCAACTTTGTATCAGCGGTTTTATCATACTTTCAGTAGACTTTACGTTCTCTCGATCACTCGCAGGAAACTCAATCTCTGCTAACTGTGAAGTGCGCCATAGCACCGGCTTTGTTCTAATTTTCTGATTTGCCTACCATGTCATTTCTTAAAGGAATTTCTCAAAGTATGGTGGACTCTGCTCCGGTCTTCAAAGATGCCTATAGATTGTTTCGTGACTGGATGGCTCATCACAATCTGGGCGATGTCGATCATCGTTATGCATTTGTAACAGACGGGTCAGTAGTGGAGGATTTCATCAAAGTGATTTTTACATCGTTCCTTTTCTACTTCTCTCAGCTCAAAAAATTATTCTTTCATAGTACTTTATTCTTTACTTCCTTACTCAATTTTATAAAATGCAACTCTTTCTTAAAGCTTAAAAGCTTCACTGCAATGGTCTTGAACGAATGCTGAGCCCTGACGATGCTTTATTCCCAGTTTTCCTGTCTGTGTGTTTTCTCGATCGAATGTTATAGTTTTGGAATATTTCCAGACCACACGATTTGTGGAAGTTCTTCCAGTTCCAATGCATCTTGGTTAGCGTTAGCGCCATTACCTTGGCCGTATTAAATTCTATGACCCTAATTTTATGATTTTAGTCAGATTTTGGAACAATACCCCACGACTGTCGGCACTTCATAAATATCAAACGAATCTTTGAGCAACGCGTTATGAAACTAGTGAAAGGCAACGGGGTAAGCATCGTGGAGAACCCATTACCATTATTATTATTACATAAATTATTATTTTCTTGGTTGTTTTTCAGCAGTCAGGAATCCAAAATATGCTTTCTCACTACAATCTCACTTTCGAAGGACAGAAACATTGCGGTCTTGACGATTCGATTAACATCGCTAGGTTATGCATAAAGCTTATGCAAGACAAAATCGAACTTCGGGTAGTTTTTAACAATTTTCAAAATGTTCGTCCAGTTATAAGCTCTCTTAAATTGCAGATTAACCAAAGAATGACCAGAAGGCAAGATAGGATTGAGGTAAATGTTCCTTTTTTAAGCTTTCTGTTTTCCTAGAATGGACCATGTACGACTTTCTCTTAATCTCGGCATAGTTGAACTTGTCACTTGAGATGTTTTGAGCCTTTCCGAGATTCACAAATTTATACAGCTTACGTTTCGGCCTCTTCGCCTTCTTCAGAGCCTGAAAGCCGAAAAACAATTTGAGATTGGTCCTCACGTAGGCCTAGACAATACTTAAAACAGTCCTCTAGACTAGTAGACCCCCTGGACTCGATCAATACAAGAGTGTCACATGGCTTACCTTGAACTCAGAGGGCGACCACTAGGACGACCACACAAGAACGGAACTTCTGCGTACAATAAGCAACCCATCTCCTCCCTGACCTCACCGTAAGTTAAAATTTGCAGAGGTCGAGGAAGGGCGCGAGGTCACGGGTAATGGCCACACACTCTTCCTTTCTATTAATTTGTGGATTCCTAGCTGCAATCCAAAACGCCTCGAGTGTTTTCCGCGCAGGGGTGTCCGCTTCTATGTCCAAGATGGCTACTGAAATTTCGAACTCGCTACCATCATGGCACTCAATTCGTTGCATTCCCAGAGGTGTTTGTATGCGAGATCTTCTTTGGCCCTCCAGATGTTCCCTGATTCGCGTACGAAGGGGGCGCCCTGTTTCACCTATATACTCAGCATAGCAGGCCTGGCATCGAATTTGGTATATGACCCCAACTTTCATGCAGTCACCCCTTCGATTGAAAGGACACACAATGCAGTCTGGGGTGTCGCACAAGCTATCGTAAAGACGATTTCGGATCAACTTACGGCTTAGGTTTCCTGGGGGTATTTCCACAACCCTGACTTCTTCTTGTAGATCACACCTGGTCACACAGGCTCGAATTGCTCTGCTCATCTCTTCGGAGATGAATGGCA